TGATGGAGGTAGTGATGGTGGAGGTGGAGGTGATAATGGAGGTAGTGATGGTAAAGGTAGGGGTGATGGTGAAGGTAGTGATGGTGGAGGTGGAGGTGATAATGGAGGTAGTGATGTTAAAGGTGGTGGTGATGGTGGAGATAGTGATAGTGGAGGTGCTGACGGAGGTAGTGATGGTGGAGGTGGAGGTGATGATGGAGGTAGTGATGGTGGAGGTGATGATGGAGGTAGTTATGGTAAAGGTGAGGGTGATGGTGGAGGCAGTGATAGTAAAAGTGATGATGGAGGTAGTGATGGTGGAGGTGGAGGTGATGATGGAGGTAGTGATGGTGGAGGTGTTGATGGAGGTAGTGATGGTGAAGGTGATGATGGAGGTAGTGATAGTAAAGGTGGGGGTGATGATGGAGGTAGTGATGGTGGAGGTGGAGGTGATGGTGGAGGTAGTGATGGTGGAGGTGGAGGTGATGATGGAAGTAGTGATGGTGGAGGTGATGCTGGAGGTAGTGATGGTGGAGGTGGAGGTGATGATGGAGGTAGTGATGGTGGAGGTGATGCTGGAGGTAGTGATGGTGGAGGTGGTGATGGTGGAGGTGGTGATGGTAGTTGTGGTGGTGGTGGCAGCAGGGGCAGTGGTGGTGGTGATAGTATGCTGGGAGTCAATGGACCAGCTCTAGAACTTAATAACTTCCAGGGATACCATGGGGTTAGGCAAGACCTCCCCTGGACTGGGGCCTCTGGGCTGGGCAGCTCCCCCAAGCTTCAAAGCTGGGCTGTAATGAGGAGAAATCATTTATCCAAGGAAGAATTTGTTTCCTGGGCATTCTAATATCAAAAGCAGGGCCATAAGATGAAAGAGACTTAGAGAGCATTTCCAATCCTCTCATTTTACAGATAAAAAAGTGAAGGCCCAGAGAGAGGGAGTGATTTGGACACAGAGAATAAAGAGCAGGACCAGGATTGGAACCAGATCCTCTTTCTCCAGATCTAAGCTCCGGTACCCCTGGGGTGGGATTGAGGGAAGCGAATCTTCGTCCTTCCCTGCTGAGCCCCACAGACTCACCTGGCAATCAGGGGGTGATGGGATAAGCCCCAGACCTAAGAATAGAACCCGGGAGAGCTGTGCCTCCCCAGCCTCTAGGCTCTGCCCCTGGCCACCCACCCAACCTTCCCAGCCCAGGGAAAGAAGGAGGATGAGAGCACGAGCAAACTCTGGAGAAAGAATATTAATAGCTCCATTTCCACCGTACTTCAAAGTTTCCAAGTGGCTTTCCTCCCAATCACCCTGGGAGGCAGGCAGGTGGCAGAAATACTAGCAAATGAGGAAACTGAAGCCCAGAAGAGCCGAGCGACTTGCCTATGGTCACACAGTGAGACTCCCCAGGACTAAAGGCCCCATCTCCTGGTTCAGGAGGCATTGTTCAAGAGACAAGTCAAAGACACCAGTTCCTTCTCTCCCTTCTTTCTCTTCCCCTTTTCTCCACCCCCCACTCCCCCTTGCAATGGTGATGTAATGTGCTTGGTCCTGGTGCCAATCTCAGAGAAGAGACGACAGATTGCGTGAGCCAAATTTGGCATCCAAGGGGGAGAGGCATGAAAAATGGAGATGTGGAGGAGAAGAGAGGAGTGATAGAACCTGGGAAAGGAGGGAAGTCAGGAGACTGGGAGCCCACCCGAGGGAGAAGGCAGCCACATCCTGCTCTGCACGGGCCCCACCACCCATCTTCTCTCCATCTATCTTCTTCCCCACTCTGCTCCCATCATCGTCCTCCCTCCTGCCTCCTCCTCTCCCATCCCAGCCAAGTTCCTTCACTATCTTTTCTTTCTCCATCATCTCTCTCCCAAATCCTGCCTGGTACTCAAGCCAACCCTGAACCTTCCCTCCCTTCATTCTCTCTTCCTATCTCCTTCCCCTCAGCTGCCACTCCAAACTGCATGCCTGCCCGCCTCCCCTACATCTCTAACCCCACCCCCACCTCAGCCCCTTCCTTCCCAACCACTGACAGTGAACGGCTGTTGCCTCCTATAGTTACCATGCTGCACGATGTCATGTAGGTAACATGTCCCTATGACTCAGTCGTCCCAGTGGAGGGGCCGGTTCCCCCTCAACACCCAACCAGGGGCATCTTAGTGCTCTGCTCCCGCCCCTCTGCACCCCCACCCCGACTCACCCCCACCTCTACAGATCCAAATTAAGAACACATTCCTTTAAACCCAGCTCTCCTTCTCTCTAGTACCCTGTTCTAAGAGATTGCTTTGGGGAATCTCAAGACAACTGCTTCCTTCATCCCAAAGGATCTCAACAGGGATACAGCCATTCATCCAACATACATTTCAAGGCCATAGGAAAGCTGTATCCAGTACTGTGCCTGGTATACAGTTGGTGCTTAATAAATGCTCATCAATTAACTTTCTGCAAGGCACCACAAAAGGGTCTCTGAATCTCCCACTCTCTTTTTTCATTCCCAGAGGATCATCTTAATTCACTTAATACCTGTGACCCTGAGAAAATCATTTAACCTCCCTGGCCCTCAGTTTCCTCATCTGTAAAGTGAAGGGGTTGAATGAGATGGTCTCTGACACCCCTTCATGCTCTGAAGCTAGGATCCCTTGATTCTCAGTTAAAGAGTTCCACCTCAGTGTCTTCTCCAGCCCAAAGATCTCCCCTAGAACTAGCCCTCTTCTTCCTGCTGGCCTCCCAGGGTGTCTCTGACCCCAGACAAGGCAATGGGATCTCTTTAGGGCTGACCACTTTGGCACCACCATTCCAGATAGCCGGGGTGGTGGGATACAGCCAATGAGGAGAGGATCATGGACCTTCTCCACCCAGACCCCAAAAACAAATTCCAAAAGATTTTACCCTAGAATACTGAGACCTAATGGAAGAGCCCTCAGAGACCATCCAATCCAATGCCTTGATTTTACAGGAAGGGAAACTGAGATCCACAGCAGTGAGATGACTTCCCCAAGGTCACACAGCTAGAAAGGAGAAAATAGGGGATTCAGACCCAGGTCACCCTCTGGTGTTGACATACACTCAGTAATAGACAAACCTCCCTAGCTTAATTAAAAAGACAGAGCCACCAAAGGCTTTGCCCAGACCAGGAGATCCTCTTCCACTGGCTGGTCCAGAGGATCTTGACACGGCCGGGGAGCAGTGAGAAAGAGACTCGGGAGCTAGGACATCGAATGTTGGAGCCAGAAAAAAGCTCATTATTCAAAGAAGGACACGGAGGCCCAGAAAGGTTAAGCCACTGGCTCAAGGTCACAAAGCTAGTCAGAGGCAAAGCAGGGACTCAAGCCTAGATCTTCAGAATCTGGATCAATCATTCTCTCTACTGCCCCAGGCTGTCTCTCCTATTACACAGTTGTGTGTGTGTGTGTGCGCGTGCGTGTGTGTGTGTGTGTGTGTGTGCATGTGTCTGTGTGTCTGTGTGCGTGTGTGCGTGTGCGTGTGTGTGTGTGTGTGTGTGTGTGTGTGTGTGTGTGTGTGTGTGTGTAAGAGTAGGTTGAATAGCTATCCTATACAAACGTCTCTGTAATCACCCTCAGGACTGCATTTTTTGAAGAACAGATGCCCAAAAGTCTTTTCCCTCTGGCCGTCATCAAGGCTGGCCTCAGTGGGGTTACTGCAACAGGTCTGACATTAACTGTCTGTGTGACCTTGGACCAATCACTTCACTTAGATGACCTTAAAGGTCCCTTCCAGCTCTACATCTTTGTGGTCAAGGTACTTCACTTTCCTAGACCTCAGTTTCCCTATCTGGCTCCTGAGGTCCCTGTCAACTCTCAAGCTATGACCCTATAACCCAGGGAGCTCCTACACCCAACAGCCCCCTCAAGATCTGACCTCAGCACAGAGTAGGGGACAAAGGAAGGTTCAGGGTGGGGGGCTCCCTAGAAAGGACTAGTCAGTAAGGCCAAAGGGAGGACTCTCTGGGGCTAGAGAATTGGGGTGTGTGAAGAAGATTTAAGGCTGAGCACGTAGGAAGCTCAAGACACTAGTGCAACCCTCTTTTTTTACAGACGGGGAAACTGAGGGCCAGAGAAGTGATGAGACCTGCTGAAGGTCACCCAGCTGCCCAGTGTCAGATCCGGGATGTGAACTCCGGGGCCTAGGACTCTGAATCCAGGACTACCCCCACCCCGTGCTGCCTCAACTAGACTATCAACCTTCACGGCTCGGACCCTGACCTCCCGACCTCCTCCCAACAAGGCCGGGAGTTACTTTCTGCGATCGCAGGGTTGGTTCAGGCAAACTTAGGAGGTTTGGGAGGCCCACTACGTGGGCAGGGGAGAGGGGTGTAGTAGAAAGCATAGTCAAGGAACTCGGGTTCAAACCCTAGCTCTGACACTTCCTAGCTGAGAAACCTTAGGTCAGTCACTTCAGCCTCCTCGATTTTCCCCACCTTGAAAGTGGGAACAACTACCAATGTTGGGGTCTTCGGGGAAGGGAAAGTGTTTTGTAAAGCTCGAAATACTACAGAAATAAGATGGATAAGACTGAGGGAAACCATAGGGAAAAGATACGGCTCCCTTCCGGAGATACGCACCTTATATGACCTGGGCTGAGGCTTCTCCTAATTCTGGCTGAGAATTGAACTCTGAGGCCACTGGGTTAGGAGGACTGCAATGGGGGTCGGGGGGGGTAAGGAAGAGGAGCCGTGTTCCGGGGAAGTGGAGGTCAGGCACAGGGAAAGCAACAGGAGAGGGGGTAAGGGCACTGTCAGCGATGCACCCTCCACCTCATTCTGAGCCTCAGCGCAACCTCCGACGCCCCCAGACGGAGAAAAGCAGAGAGCAGAGGAGGTAGTCACGGGACAGCTCTGGAGTGGGGAATGCACCACGCTCTCGGCTGGGGAAGGAAGGGAGGGAGCTAGCTGGTGGGAAACAGAGAGGGGGAAAGGTGGGGGGCTAGGATAGAGTCCCCTCTCTGGTCTGTCCATGGGAACAGCTGGCACCCCGAACTGAGAGAGAGAGGACGCGGAGGAAGGCACCCTTACCTAGGGGGGGTCGGAGTTTCCCAGCGTAACCTCTGGAGAAAACAGCTCCAGACTGAAGGCCGGCGGTGGGTGCTACATCCCACGGAGAAATCCGTCCCTCCGTCTGTGGCTGGATCCGTGCTGGCGGAGAGAGGCGATGGGTGCAGGCCGGGGAGGAGGGTGGCTTCGATCTCCCCCCTCCCCCAAACTTGTCCTGGCCAGTGGGGCTCGAGGTCCCCTTCAAGTCGGCTCCCCTCCGCTCAGTTCGCCCTCGCTCTCCCCTCTCTGTGCCCCTCGCAGGCCAGGGCCCCCTAACTTTGGCGCCTGCTCCGGGCCTCAGCTCGTCGCTCCCCTGGCCTCCTGGTCCTCAGCATCTTCTGCTGCCCCGAGGGGCAGATCCCCGACGGCCCTCCAGCTGCACAGCCCAGGTCCCCGGCCCGCACGCCTCCTCGCCCGGCAGCCCGCGGCTTCTCGCTCCCCTCGCCTGCCTGCTCCCGCTCACACTTGCCTCTCTCCTCCAAGCTTTTTTTTTTTTTCCGCCCCCCCCCCCCGGTTGTTCTCTCTGTCACTCTGCGTGGATCCCTCCCTCCTTCCCTGTCTCTCTCTCTCTTCCCTCAGTTCCTCTACCTTTCCTCCTCTCTCTCTCTGTTCACTCCATCTCTCCCCCACTCTGTAGCTCCCTCTCTCTTCTCCTCCCCTCCCTGTCTCTTTGACAGCCTTCTATGTGGTCCTTCCCCCTCCCTCTCCTTAGCTATCTCTCTGTCTCTGTCTCCCTCCTCTTCTCTCCTTCTCTGTCTCGCTCCTTTTTTCTCCCGTCTCTTTTAGCTGTCTCGCTCGATCTTCTTGGTCCGCTTCCTCATCCGTGTCACTGAACCCTCCTCTCTCTTTCTCTCTCTCTCTCTCTCTCTCTCTCTCTCTCTCTCTCTCTCTCTCTCTCTCTCTCTCTCTCTCTCTCTCTCTCCCCCCTTTTTTCTCCGTTTTTCACTCTCTGCCCTTGTCTCCTGTCTCTTCCACTTCTCTGTCCTTCCCTTCTCTCTCTATCTCTGTCTCTCCCTATCTCTCTCCTCTCTTCTCTTCTCTTCTCCTCCTCTCCTCCCTCCTGCCCTGCCCTCCTCTGCTCTCCTCCTCTCCACGCCCCCGGGGCGGCTCTGCAAGCTCCGCTCCGTCGGCCGCCCCACGAAGTCTTAGACTCCGCGAGCCCCGGGAGAGCTCTCCTAGCCCTGGGCTCCTTGCCCCCCGCAGGGCACGTGACCCCCACGCCGTGCACCCCTTCCCTCCCTGCTGGCCGCTGCAGGCGCTCCAGCCCGACGCTGCTAGCAGGGAACGAGCGGGAGGAGCCAGCTGAGTGGCCCGGGACGACCGGTGCACGTGGAGAGGGGCGATGCGAGGCAGCCGCAGCCAGCGGCCGGCAGCCCAGGAGCTGGGGGGAACTTCGCCTCCCGCTCCCGCTCCGGCTCCGGCTCCCCATAATCCAGTCCAGGCTTTGCTCCTCAGCCCCAGGAGAGCTCCTCCCAGGACCCGCTCCAGTGGGGGTGCAAGAGAAACTCCAGGTCTCCCTTCTGTGGGGGTAGCCTGGGGAGCAGGGCTGGGAGCTTTGCACGTCCCCTCCAGGGTCCTGGGCTGCGGTCGAGGCCACTCTTTTGGAAATGGAACTAAAGTCAAGGGGTCTGGGTTCAAATTCCTGATCCCATTACTGCCTGTGTGGCCCAGGGCAAATCACTTAACGTCTGTGCCTCAGTTTCTCCGTCTATTGATTGAATTAGACCAGACAACCTCTAAGCTCCCTGCCAGAGCTCGATCCCGTGGGGACTTCTACCCTACCCGCTTTCCTTCCAAGGACTCCGAGACCTTACAATCCGATTTTGGAAGGCACTCTAGACTCTAGGGCCTAGAGGCTGTTCAGCTCCCTCGTTTTACAGATCAAGAAACTGAGACCCAGAGAAGTTAGGCTCAGGGTCTCACAGGATTTGAGCCCAGGTCCTCTGACTCCAGAAACAAGGCTTACTCTTCCCACTGCTCCACACGAAGACGGAAAGAGGGGCTAAGAGACTAACCCAAAATCATACAGACCGTAATAATCCCGGATCCTCTGATTCCCAAGGGTGCTGGAGACCCTTCCATTTCCCAGAGGGCACTGAGCCCCGCAGGAGGGAAGTGATTTGCTCAAGGTCAAACAGTCAGGACTAGCAATCCAAGCCTAGTTCTCCTGACTGTCCAGCTCTGCTCTCCCCGCTGTTCCACAACCCCACGGGGCTTCCTCACCTCTGGCAGACACCTGGACCGCCAAGGAGCAGCCAAGCAGATACACGGAAGCACCAAAGTGCACAAAGCACCGGGCAGAGCCCGCTCCGTGTCAGGACCCCGGCTGGAGGTCGTGGCTCTTACCCCCATGTCATTCACTACAGGCAACCCTCCAACCCACCAGCTCTTGTGACCCCCGACCCCCAGGCTTCTAGCCCCCAGCCACCCTGCTCAGATCTTCCCTCCCGACACACACACACACTCATCCTCTCTGACTTCCTCAGCCTGTGATGCATGAGATTAGACCTTTAGAGACAGAAGGGACTTCAGAGGTCATCTGGTCCAACCCATTTTACAGATGGGGAAACTGAGCCCAGGAAAATGAAGTGACTTGCCTGGATCTCCCAAATGATAATTCAGTTCTATTTCAATTCAACAAATGTTCATTTAGCCCTAGCTGTGTAGGACCTCTGGACTCGGGCCTGTGGATAGAAAGATTAAAAAAAAAAAAACAACCACATCCCTCCTCCCCTAAAGGAGGTTTAGAAACCCCTTCTTTCTATAGTTAGGGAAACTGAGGCCCTGGGATATTAAGTGATTTGCTGTAGGTTACACAAGGTAAGAAACATCCGAGGGTATAGGAAAGGTAAAACAAAATGGCCTGAGATACCGGAGGCGAAGGGGAATAGGAGGGCTTCATGGAGGAGATGACTCATGGGACCTGGGCAGGAACAATCATGGCACTTCCCTGAGTCCTAGCACCAGGATAGGCAGGACCACTTTTGTGATCTTCCAGGCCTAATTCCTCTCTTGTCTCAGTGCAGGCTACCCCACCGTCAGTGGAAGAACAGAGTGCTTTCCCCTCAGGACAGGCCACATGCCTCAAACTCAGTACTTGTGTCAGAAGGCTGAATAAGAGAGCAAACGTTCACCTTACAGGGAAATGGAGACACATCTGGAAGGACTTCCCAACAGCCAGATGATGAAATGATGATATAATTGGATTTGGGAGTCAAAGGGCTTGAGTTCAAATCTTGACTCTTATTTTTGTAACTTTCGGCAAGTCACTTCTCTCAGGGTCTAAATTTCCCCATGTGTGGGAGAGAATTGGACTAGACACCCTCTAAGGCCCCTCCCAGCTTTAAATCTGGCATTCTCTGTTATTGAAGAAAGGCAAGATCTTCACCACAACATCCTTGTCTTCTGGGGAAACTGCTTTTTTATTTTATTTTATTTTTTCTGATTGATTATGAAATCAACGATCATTAGTGAATACAAACATTTTCATATAAAAAGAAGAGCATTGTATATTAAACAGCAAGCTTCCATGATGTAGTTTTATAGATTATTAATTTTATAGCACAATACATTTAACAATATAGTAACAAGTGCCCTGTTTGCGTCTGGAGTTTTGTAAAATCAATTTTTATTAATATATTTTCTTTTACATTGCCTAGATTTTCCATATAGCCTTGCCCTGGCCCTCCCAGAGAGCAATCATTTATAACAAAGAATTTTTTTTTTAAGAAAAAAGTGGAAGGAAAGGGAAAAATCAGAAAAATTGATCAACACGTGAAAAAAGTGATCCGCCTCATAATCAGGGTTCCACGCCTCTACGAAGGAACAGGAGGAAGCATGCATTAGTCTGTCTTCTTTGGAGTCAAGCTTGCTCATCATCATTTCCCAATGGTCAGTTTCGATTGCTTTATATATAAAGATTGTTCTTCTTTCTCTTTCAAAGGCTGTAGTCACTGTGTCTGGTGTTTCCCTGGCTTTGCTGACTTCACTCTGCATCAGTTCAGGTACGTCTTCCCAGCCTTCCCTATATTTATCACATTCCTCAATCTCTATAGCACAGTAATAATATTCCACTACAATGATGACCCATAACTTTAGCCTTTCCCCTATCGATGGGCACCTAATTTGCTTAGCTGGGAGATTTTTAGTAAAAATCTTGGGATGTTCTGAGGACTTGAATGAATGAATGAACACTCACTAGGGGCCAAGACCCTGGGGATTGATTTGTCCTAGGCTGGAGATAAGGGGATGGCCCATGTGGTCTTTTAAAGACTTTTCCCTAGAGAGGCAGCTGGGTTTTACTGCAAGAACCCTGGATTAGGAGTCAGAGGGTCTGGGTCTAGGTGCCAGATCTGCTTATTCACTGTGACCTGGGTGACCTTAGGCAATCAGAGGGGACTTGTAGTGGGATGAAGTGCTGGATTCAGAGGCAGGAAGACCTGGGTTCATGTCCTGCTTCAGACATTTATTCAGTGTGTGACCCTGTCGGGCCTCAGTTCTCTAATCTATAAAATGGGAATGGGAATGTCATTATTGTCATCAAATCAGACGGTCCACGTAATAGCACTTTGCAAACCTTAACGCGCTATGTAAACATTGTTAGTGTCTTTCTGCACCTCAGTTTCCCCATCTGTATAATGGAGGAAATGAGATATCTCTAGAGTCCCTTGAGCCACCCTGGGTCCCCCCCATGACCTGTTTGCATGCCCTCATGTGACCCTGAGGTATGTGAGTGATGTCCCCAAGAGGAAAGAGATGTGCTCCCCAGCACATTTGGGGACTTGGTAGAAATCATGGGCAGATTGCAAGCTTTCTGACCCATTAATGATTTGCTTAGTCCATCTGGTCAGCATCAAGGTTAGACTTCTTAACACCTGAAAATACAATAACTCTAGATTTGGGGTGTAAAGGAGCATGGAATTTAGAGCTAGAAAAGTCTTAGAAATTACATCATCCAAATGCCTCATTTTGAAGGCCAGAACAGGGAAGGGACTTACCCAAGGTCTCACAGCTTTGTAATCCTAGAGTCAAGATCTGAACTAAGGCCCTTGAACTCCAGATTCAAGTCTCTCTCTCTCTCTCTCTCTCTCTCTCTCTCTCTCTCTCTCTCTCTCTCTCTCTCTCTCTCTCTCTATTGAACTGGGATTCTTCTCCACAAATCTCTGCCATTATGGTGTGACCTTGAGTAAGTTACTTGCCCTCTCAGTCTGTGTAAAATTGGGATGGTAATCCCTGCTCTGTCTACCTAAGAGGGCTGACGTGAGGAGTAAAAGCAGAAAGGCCCATGAAAGAACTGGGAGCAGGGAGGTAACAATGGATGGAAGAGGGATAGCGGGTGGGGGGAAGCACCCCTAAACCCTGTCCTTGGACAGAAAGAAAAGGGAATGAGGAGTGAGGCAGGATCGAGCAATCCCAGGACTCAGGGCTCACATCTCAGGGTTCCCTCCCTCTGAGGTCAGACTCTGGATTTCCCACAGAAGTACCAGTCACTGTGAGCTGGCAC